GCCCTGGCAGTGCTGGGAATGGTTGGATTCAATCCTAGAAAATCTTTTCCAACCAGAACGATTCCCTGGCTTCAATAATCCCATCCAAGCAAGGAGGGGAGCTGGGATAAACCCATTTTGTGTGGAAAGCTCATCCCAGGGGCAATTCCAGCTCTGGAGCAGCTCACCATTCCCTGATCCCATTTCTGATCCAATTTTCACCTTCAAGCCGTGCTAGGGGAGGTTTAGATGGGATTTTAGGGAAAATCTCCCCATGGAAACCAAATTGTCAGGCACTGGAACTGCCCAGGCATCCCCATCCCTGCAGCAATTCCAAACCCTGTGGACGTGCCGCTTGTGGAGGGGGGGACACAAATCCCCACCACCTACCCTCCCTTTTACAAACCCCTCCCACCTTACCCAGGCCGTGATTTTCCCGGTTTTTTTTGTTTTTTTATCCCTTCCCCGCTGTTCCCTGCAGGTGGACGCCAGGAACATCGACGGCAGCACTCCCCTGTGCGACGCCTGCGCCTCGGGCAGCATCGAGTGCGTGCGGGTGCTGCTGTCCCACGGGGCCAAGGTCAACCCTCCCCTCTACACGGCCTCCCCTCTGCACGAGGCCTGCATGAACGGTAATGCCCTGGGCACCCCGGCACGGGGGGAAAAAAGGGAAAAAACGGCCCCCAATGGCCTCGTTTGGTCAGCGGGGAGGAGGGGACACCCCTGAATAGACACCTCTGGTCCCGTTCCTGATCCTGGTTTTCTCATTTTTATCCCATTTTTCCTTGCACAGACCCCTCTGATCCCATTCCTGATCCCATTTCTCCTGCACAGACCCCTCTGATCCCATTCCTGACCCCATTCTCCTGCACAGACCCCTCTGATCCCATTCCTGACCCCATTTTTCTCTGCAGAGACCCATCTGATCCCATTTCTACTCAGAACTTCCATTCCTTAGATTTCCTCACTTTTACCACTCAATTCCATAAAATTCCTCCCTCCCACCACCTCAATTCCATAAAATTCCTCCCTCCCACCACCTCAATTCCATAAAATTCCTCCCTCCCACCACCTCAATTCCATAAAATTCCTCACTCCCACCACCTCAATTCCATAAAATTCCTCCCTCCCA